AATAACAGATTTAAACAGTTTTTATTAAATAGAGTGATTCCATAGGAAGGTGTATATGTATAATACACGTACACAGGTAGTTAGTTAAAGGAAAAGAGTAAAATTTGATTAGATCTTGTAATATACAACCAAAGAATTCTTCGACAACATGCCTGCGGCTACCTTTTACCATCGCACCGCTCGCTATCGGCAGGGAATTCATCCCCACACACTAGAACCTACGTGATCTCGGACAGTGCGGTTTCAGAGGAGCTTCCGCCCGCGTACACTGTACACCGTTAAATTGTAAAATGAACTACCTGCCGAGGTCGTTCAAGAAGGGTATATTAAGGTTTCTTAAGGGTCGGTAATGCGTACGTGACACCCGATATTTCAGGCGTCCATAGGCTACGGTAACTGTTTACCATCAGACAGAAGATGAGCAGTGTGCTTGTTTGCCAGGATAGTAGTATAAAACAAACCCAATTACTTTATACTACAGCATCTATTGTTAATTGCTGACAAATTTGTAAACAATACTACACAAATGTACAATTATCGTGTAGTAATGTTATAAAAACATAAATTCGACATTTGACCTTTTAATTTGATGTTGTTCACCTTCAATTTTGTAATTATCTAGAGTAAATGAACAATAAATATACTATGGACTCTAGCCAACTGATACATATATTTAGTAATTATTTTTAATTTTATTATAAAGAGACTGCTCATGAATATCAAAATCTTTGTTTTGTGCTAATATATTAAACACAACAATCAAAGCAGCTGGGAAGCAGTAACACTCAAGATCTTAAATTGTAAGATTTCTACATAAAAATTAATGTTTGGATTATTTCTTGATACGTAAGCACAAGGCGTGGACCAATATTTTCAGCAATTCAAATTTGACAACAGAATAGTAAATGTAACACATGATTTCAGTGATATAAAACAAAGCAAAAACACTTTTGTTAGACTGTTATATTTATTGAATGATTTTCAATAAATATAATAGTCTCAGTTAGTTATGAGTACACTTGTAATCAGTGAACTGATTCCTTACGATGTATACACTAGAATTACATGATTGAAACACAATTGTACTTCATTCCTTATATTAAAACTGGTTTTCTCCATGGTTTCGACCTCCTATTCCTGGCTTAATTTAAAATTAGACCTCATTCCCCAATGTATATATATTCCCCTATCCCCTAGTCTTGGATGCACTTGTGCCTTTTTAGCTTAGTATTTCTTATAGTCTTATAACTGATAAATTTCTTGCATAATTGAGCTATCTAATGCAAAGGCTTTCTAAATTTGATTGGTAGTTCCATAGATGCACATATTTAAACAAATGAACACTGAAGTGTTTGAATATGAAGCTTCATGTATAGAAAATACCAATATGTTAGGAATTTAGTTGCCTACTATGGTAGTTAGAAAGGAATCAAGACTTCTAGGTTTATTAGCTCAAACCTTAATATAGACTTACCTCTTCTCTCAACAGAGCAAAGTGTGGCTCATGGGTACACATGCCCAACATGATGAGATCGGCGTCCAGTCCATATAGACAATGCCGAGTGTTAGGGTCGTAATCAGGTTGCGAGCGCGCCCACCGTATGTAGTCCATGATTTTATGTTCACCCTCTCCTGGTGTCTGAAATATGTACCTTATTTAACTCTAACAGAATTTTGTAGATTTTGATGATTACTTTTGACATGTATATATACTATGATACATATAAATATGAAAAATGTATATTCCATGTGCTATTTTTTTTTGTGGAATAAAATACTTAATTATAAAAATTAAGTATTTTGTTCCACAAAATCTTCTGGAAGTAGCCATATGGACCTCCCATATGGCTACTACCAGACGTCTATATAAATATCTCAATATAATACACAATTTTGCTGTCTGTGTGTTAGTCACCTAACTTCTGTTAAATGGCTGGACCAATTTGAATGAAATTTTCTGTGTATATTTTATTGGGTGCCTGAATGATTTGTGAAATACAGTTGAACCTTATGGTGTACTTTTACGGGCAAGAATGATGTGGGCCAGGTAGTATATTATAATTTACATAAAGATAAACTATAGGTTAAAAACATTTTATAAACAAATACTCACCTCATGTCCAGAGAGAATAACTTTTACTTTAGACCAGAGGGGATCTGTAGACATCTTAAGTTTAACAAAGTATTTCAGTTGCTCATGTAAACGGGCCATAAATACTGTTCCTGGTGTAATGCAGTTGCTATCAAACTTCTCCTTTGGCAAGACCTCACCTTAAAATATGAATGAACATTAATACACATTTCACATTCAATGGATAATGAATGAGTGAATAGTTCAACCAAAAGAAGATATACCATATAAAGTTAAAAAAAATCTATGTAACTTTGAATAGTTAAATATCAAATACACAATCCCGTCTTATGGATATGTATGAGTAGTTCATATGTGTGAATATGATCAATTCATACAAGTTTGTAATAGTATTACACTTAAACAAAACACTAAATAGCAGACAAACATGACATACCTTTAGCAATGGCTTCCTCTTCTAATTTTTCTGCCTCACGAGCAGACCTAAATCTGTAGGATGAAATTAAGTACTTCAGTATAATCACTTTTCTAAATACAATCTGTGAATAACACACAGTTGTATGATAAAACAAAAAATGTAGACTTTTAATTTACATTAAATAACTTATTCTTATTATTATAGCTTTATTCTTCCACATAGTACATATTTATAACATATAATTATAATATTTTTGGTTTAATTATGTTTCTAGTTGTGTGGGCCGCTCGGGTAAGCCTCGTCCATCTTCTGCCATCCCTCTTACATTACATTATTCTTTATATTATCATTGTTTTTGTATTATAAAATTTAAACATATTATACTGTAATATTTCAGAGTAATGTTAACGAGACGATCCTACCCAAGAGGTGGACATGGTGTTATATTATATTGTTCACATATTAAAAAATCTACTTTCAGGTCAAGAATTGATTGCAACAATAAAAAAAAAAACAAAGAAATACATCCTTGTTGGCAGTTTATGTGGTAGTTATACCTAGTTGTATTCATAAGTTATTCTAAAATCCATTTATTATATACTTTATTGATTAAAATATATTATTGAACTTAAAATATAAAGAACTCTCCTTCTTCGATATACTGAATCCATCAGATGGAGATTGGGAAAATGGAATGAACTTAAATAAAAAGTTTATATATATATATATATTAAAGATTGTATAACATACCTTCTACCTCTCTGTTGGTTCATTTTTGCTCTGGGAGCCACTCCATCAATAGCCATAAAGAACAGTTTCTTTGGCTTGATGATTTGGAACAGAGTTCCAAGGTAATGAAATATGTCCTTAAATATCTTCTCTTCAGTGATACGAAAGTGTGGATTGGAGTCATCAGGATGGGAGCAATTGTGAATAATTCCATTCATGTCCAGATACATATTGTCAAAATCAGGTATCTGTTTAAAAAAAATGGATATTTAGACAACTTTCCTAACATTTCATTTTATCTGCATGCGGATACTTAAAAACGTGAAAATTGAAGGCATTTAACAATTTGAAATATACCAATGCATTTCTATTATTTACCTGATATTGCTTCACCAATTCATTAAGACAGGGGTACCTCTCACTGGTATATCTAAAGAACTTCGGAACACCCATTATGTATTGATAATTTGAAAAATTATAAGTAGTATATTGGATCACTACATATGTTTGTTGACCTCAAATCTCATATAACCTCGATGGCTAACTAAAACTTTTGCATTATTTGATTACTATTATTATCATAGTTCAGTCTGCTGTCATAGTTCCGAAAATGTGCGGTATAATCAAAAATTAAAATGAAAATATCTTGTGATATTAATGAAAAACATCATTGAAAATTTGATTAAAAATTACTTTTTATTATTTATTTTTCATGGCTCTGGAAGTTTATAAATTTTAAAATACTGTAATTTTGAAAGAGACATAATCCTTTAAACTCTGTGTCTCTTTCTTATACCTGGCAATGACAATGATTATTTTAAAAGCATTTGCCAGAGTCCATTTACAATACTTCAAATAACATACTCTGTAACATAAATGATAAACTGATGTCATTCAGCTGTCATTTAATCTATTGTCAAATTGTCAGTTCTTAGGTGTATGTTATGGCAAAAAAACCACAATATATTTCATTTAATATTTAATTAATAAGAAAATTGTGAAATCTACAAACATACTGATAAGTTTCTTGGTCGCTAAATGATTAATGAATTCAATATAGTAACATATATTTGTTTTCCGATTACAATTTTTGTGTACATTGTTAAGTTTAATTCTTAAATTGGTTATTGAACTATTTCGTAAAATAATATTATTCCAAATAAACAATTTGTGATAATTTTCTTGTATAATTCTGTTTTGATCATTTGATTGAAATTTGATATCAAATACTCAGAACGCAAGTGTATTCATTTTTAATAAAAATACCACTTATTGTATCACCTATATTAGTGTATGCTCTAAAACATGGAAAACGATGAAATTGGTGCAGAATTAGTCAGATTAGACAATGGATTTCTTGTGGACGAAGACACTTACGTGGTTCATTCTGACGATGTACTAGGTAATTATTAGTTCCATCTATATACACAAAATTACCCACAATAGTCCCATATTCTATTATATATATATACATTCCTGGGCTAACAAGTGTCATGCCTCCATACTCCATAATATTACTATGTATACATAGTAAACATAGTACATATATTCTGTTTTTTAATCCTGGAGACAAATTTGACACTACTGATGTTGCCAGGTTTTTGCATTTCTTAAACAAATTGGAAGGACTGTCAGAAATTAATATTAATTACCCATTTTTATAGGTAATTCAGAAATTTTATGTGGGTGTTTATTTAAAATGCATTATCACATACATATGGACACACTAGTAAATGTATGTATATGTAATGTATAAAAAAATATTGTGGAAATGACATTTAATGCTTTAAAACCAATATGTTAAAATAAAAGTTTCTGATCAAACAAATTGATATCACAGGTACGTGGTGTACCCTGCTAACATTATTTGTAAATTTTAACATTATTTGCCAATTTAGTCTCCGGAATTAAAAAATAGACTATTGTATACATATCTCTGCATAATTTTTTTTTTTCAGAGGAAGAAAACAACTCTGACTCAAATAGTGGAGGTAAACCGCTCCGGGAGCAAGATAGATTCTTACCTATTGCTAACATTGCTAAAATCATGAAGAGAGCTATACCACACAATGGCAAGGTAAATATCAGATATTTCATGTACCCTATCTATTACTATTGAGTAACTAAAGGCAGCGAGCACTGGGGGGTATGTTTATATATTCATTACATCCTATATGGCAACTGCTTATTAGGTATTAAATGTTTGAGTGCCTTGAGTTTTTACTCATGTATGCCTAAAAATGTCAATTGTGATCATTCATTGAGTTGTTAAGGCAATAAGGGATAAGTGTCATGTCTATATAGATTTGGTTTTTATTCTTATTAAAAAACAAATCTATTGACATTTATATGTTAATACAAATTACATGTTTTTCTCTGTGTTCATCATACAATCAGTCGAAGTCTATGAACAGATGTGCTAAATGTTGCATTGCAAGATGTGTGATTCTCATAGTCTCTTTAGATGGTCCTGATTAGTCATCGGGATCCAGTAACCTAAGCCTTTTAAGGTGATGTATGTTGTCGGGGCCTATCAGTTGGTTGGCCAGCACATTAGGATGATTTACTAGTCGTGTCTTGTATTTGGAGGAGCAGTGTTTTATCTCTTTACCTACTGTGTTTGTATTGAGATACTCATGAACCTCAGATGTTGTTGCAAACCAAGGTGTATTTGTAGATTGTTTGAAGATATTATTTTCAGCACTAGTATTATGCTTATGGAAATAACATGTTAATCTCTGGTTATATATGGATTATTATAACATTGGAATGTACTTACAGATAGCCAAAGATGCAAGAGAATGTGTACAAGAGTGTATATCAGAATTCATATCATTTGTAACGAGTGAGGCCAGTGACAGGTGTCAGGTGGAGAAGCGTAAGACAATCAACGGTGAAGATGTCTTGTTTGCACTGAACACACTAGGCTTTGACAATTATGTTGAACCTTTAAAATTGTATTTGAAGAAATTTAGAGAAACAGCACTTTCGCCAGTAAGTTCGTACATTTTTTTTCTTATGAACATAGTCATCTGATTTATGATTGAATGCTATATAATATGATACCATGATTTGCCAGGATTGTAATTTTAGGTATACTAAATGATTTTAGTGAGAAATACTGCCTATAGAGTTGATGTAATAGTGACCATTTTCCACACATTAAAAAAAATAAAGGAATAATAAACAAGCGGATAGGATTAAAAATACCATCCTGATCATCTAGATGTATGGTGGTCCTCCACCATGCGTATTGCGGAAACATTTTTTTTACTCACAAATCACATTGTGGAATCACCTTCCACTGATGATACTTCTGTATCAATACTATATTGAAATCTTCAAGAAAGGAGTTTATTCCCTTTTTAGAAGGTCAGCAATGCACTTGCAATTTCTCTGGTGTTGTGAGTGCTTGTGGCCTAATTTGTGGTGTGTGTAATAATGTGGCTTGGTAGTAATCACTTACCATCAGGTGAGCCGCAAAATTGTCCCTTATACTATGTAAAATTTTTTTTGGTGTGATCCACCCTTATGACGTAGGGGTACAAAAAAATAGATAACCTATTCTCAGACCTATTAAGTATATATATAAGAATACATGGCAACACAATATGACACAAGAATAAAACACTGTGACATGAGAATTTTATATACATATATAGATGAGTAAATATGCTTTATAATATTAGTAAGAATTAGTTTTGTATTTACAGAATTGTGTTCTTCCCTCAGGTCACAATCAATAAGCTGAATAAAACAATTGTTGTTTATGGAGGTAAGACTTTTTTAAATCATAAACAATAATACCCAACACATACAAGGCGATCTAGTCCCAAACTTAACAGAATTTGTTTTTTTGTCTCGAAATTTAACACAGCGCCATCTAGTCCCACGGTAAGCAGAGCTTGTGTTATGGGTACTAGACAACTGATATAAATACTCAGATATATTTTTGTATATATTAACACATACTTAATATATATAGAAAACACTGATGCAAACAATCATACTTATTCGTACAAATGTCGGTACTGTGCGAGGAATCGAACCCGCGACTATCGGAAGTAACGACGGATATGAAATTAATCTGAGGGGTTCTAGGGGAGCTGGGGGTTCGAACCTCGGCTCAAATTTCGATCTCCGTTTGAATTGGACGGGGGATCTATCACACGGGACGTTATTACCACTATAAACTACATTTTTCAATGATATTCATCAGTGTTGAAAAAAATTCAACACTGATGAATATCACGTCACTGGTCCTACAAATTTAGATTAATGCATTAAAAAAACTCATAGTAGCTATACCATGACAGTGACAGTTTCATTAACTTTTTCGGTAATTAAAACTGAAAACGTTTCACTCTTAAAAGTTGCCGTGATTTACAAATTATGACATAGTACTTCAGCTGTAGCACATTAGGAATATATTAAATCATTAATAACTTTATTAACTTAAATATACCAATTGTTAAATGTACAATTAGTAACTGTCACCCGCAACATGCTACAGCGCACAGAGTATAAATAAGAGTAGTATAATTTTTCATTGCAGAGGATGGTACGCCATGTGTTGGAACGGAGAATGAAAATGAATCACAAACGGAAACTACAGTAATATATACCTACCCAAAAGCCCTAAGCGACTTTATAAAATTGTAACAGATTATATATATAGATTTGGCTGTATGTATTGCTGTAATATTTGGCTTATGCAAAAACAGCAGTCAAACATCGTTCGTTACAAAAGTGTTGATTCAAAAAGCATGCTAATCAATACAAACTTTATGAAAAAAATAGTGACTGCTGGTGACCCGATAAATGTGAGGCTGTGCCCAACTATATTTGATGCTGAATTGTGTCAATTTCACTAATGTATAATAAAGTCGTTTTTAAGAAAAAATATTTTATTATTTTAATAGTCCTCAGATACGGCACACATTAAACGGAGTATGGTTGACTAACTGTGACATTGTGTCAAGGGTTTGGGTGTCGCTGTTAGTTTTGTAACGTCACATTTCTAAATATTTTCTTAAACGCAGCGAGTACTTAGTCTTAAATAAGTGTTTTAATACTTAAATGTATTAAAACGCCCTGTTTTAGTTATTAGAAAAAGTATTTAATGTAATAATATTTTTCCAATGACATTTTACATAAAAACAGCTTTTTAATAAGTAATAATCTTTATTTTATATTTGAATAAAATACGATTAATTTCTAAATAATATTTTACGTTTGATTCATTTGTTACATCTAATGAATAATATCAATTTACTTCTATTTTCACTCTCTAAATTTATCTGTGATATAACTGGGCAGTGGCATGAGATATAAAAACTTATTGAAGACCATGAGACCAACTGAAAAGGCAAACGAGATTCCCAAATTGAACTCTAAGTTGAAATCCCCAGAAGTGTAAATATCACCGACGAAATTTTTCGATGTGAATCTTTCAGCCAGGAATCCTTTGCCATTCACATATCTGCAATTCGAGTTCGAATTTGTATTTAGACTCGATGATGTTTGTATAAGGCTGGTTATAGACGTGCAGTTCTCGTTGTCCGTGTATGGCAGGTTGTTGAAGATGGGTTGTCTGAACACATTTTGGTGCAGGAATATCGACGCGTACCGTGTATGTGTTATGTATGTTATATAATACAGCCACTCTTCAAAGCCTTTATATGATCTGGAATGAATTTTAAATGAATTAATGAATGATCAATACAGACATGCTTGTGTTTACAGTAATATTTATTTTAGGCCGCTTTGCGTAAAAAAGTTTTTATTATCATAAACTTCACTAGCGGAGAATTGGCCATATGATTACTTATAATTATTTAACTGAAACTTCAGAAATTCTGACTTATCACAATAATTTGCTGAAGATTCCCTTATCTGTTGTTGTTAGTCACAGCTATATCGACTGACTTACGAGGTTCTGCAATCGAAACACAGCTAGCTGCGAAATAAGCAGTCGCCGGTGATATAAAAATACTCATGACAAAATGGTACAAAATTGATTGATAAATAATTATATAATTATTTTCTCGAGTGTCGTGGCCTACTATTTTACCCGACTTCACAATGGAGGTCATGAGTTTATATCTAACGGACACAATGCAAGAAGCGTGCCCCTTTAGATGCATGCCAAGTGTTACGTTTTTGTGAGGGAAGTTATGTCCGAACTTCTCACAGAGTGGACAACAGATAAACAAAAATATAGCTAATACGCTTATATTACATGAAGGCAGACAATATGAATATATACTATCTTCTAAAAGTTTTCAAACTAACATATACCTATTTAGCGTCTATATTGTTACCGCTATTATTTGTGTTTATGTTGTATTCTTGTAGCAGCAGCGGAAAAGAAGGAGGTGAAATGAGGAGTCCAGATTGTTGTTATGTACATATTTATAATTACGAAATATTTACAATCTATATATGGGTATGTACAAGAAAAATGATTCGGTCTCGAATGACAGGCCTGTTATTCTATTCGTTTGTCGTAACTAGGCAACGGTGTTGCCGCGCGATAATAGTTAATTCGCCACACCACCCCCCCGCGGAGAGAAAAAGGCGAAAGAAAAAGAAAATTAACTATAAATCTAAAGTATCATCAAATAAAACTCTCCGTTCTGACCTGGTAACCAATGATTTTGCGTTGAGGCAGGTTGATTATATGAAGTGGTGGCGAATTGAGATGAGTGTAATAGTGTAAATGATGAAGAAGTGAAAGGAATAGAGGAAGGGTGGATGGTAGTGAGGGCTCATGTAAGTGATGAGCAGGACTCAAGCATCCCGGCTTATCCTCATTCTGTTCTTCTTCTAGGTGAAGTGGAAGGAACAAAAGATGACACTGTGGACCGTAGTGAGGGCTTATGTAGGAGATAAGCAGGACTCACAATATCCCGGCTGATCATTTGTTGTTCCAGTCCAGATAAAATGGAAGGAAATAGAAGTGAAAGTGTGGATCGTAGTGAGGGCTCATGTAGGAGATGAGCAGGACTCACAGCATCCCGGCTGATCACTGTTCTTTTCCCCCATGATTAATGGCTTGGTGGTAGATGACTGATAATGAATTAAATGTGATAGACTCACCCATGTTATCTCAACCTGTGTGAACTGCAATGCCGTACAGGTCAGGAGGGAGGTAATTAAAAAATAAAATATTTAGGTACCTCCGGGGCAGATGATGTGGTTACATTGAATGTGCCGAATTGATCATTTCGAGACGAAAAATAAATAAAATTTTACAAAGAAATATACAAAATGAGTAATATGAAATGTTCTTCATCCGGGAATCGAAGTCCGACTCGGAGTATATTGACTGCGTTGTACTGGCCCGTGTCGTAGTTCCTTTATAGGCGACGGTGGGTACTACGACGGTATATACAGGAACGGTCAGTCAATAGTGACGGTGCGGTCATCAGTGATGCACTTGAATGGATTACGTCTGGTTGGCGGTATGAATAAGGAATGAAGGAAAGATGGCACCTGGACTGGAGTGGGTTCACGCTTTACTGTGGCTGCTGTGCTGGAACGACGTGGGTCACCAATTTAGCGTCTATATTGTTACCGCTATTATTTGTGTTTATGTTGTATTCTTGTAGCAGCAGCGGAAAAGAAGGAGGTGAAATGAGGAGTCCAGATTGTTGTTATGTACATATTTATAATTACGAAATATTTACAATCTATATATGGGTATGTACAAGAAAAATGATTCGGTCTCGAATGACAGGCCTGTTATTCTATTCGTTTGTCGTAACTAGGCAACGGTGTTGCCGCGCGATAATAGTTAATTCGCCACACCTACCTTAGGTATAACAGTCGAAAAAGTATTAATTTATTAAAAAAAATCAATTTTTATGAAACAACTCACCTCAAGATGCCGCTAGCTAACATAACATAAATACAAGTAATATAAATATTAACAATGGCCGCGATTAGACCGTTCTTCACGAACATCATGATGGCAATGGTCTGCTGCTCTGTGTAAACGTAGCACGACCATAACACGAGTGAGAAGTACACATAGTCCAATGTTTCAGACATGTCCCCGATTATCCTAAAAAATCATATAAAAATTTAGATAAATAGGTGTTGTTTAAATACTTTTTGAGAGTTCTGCAAACAGTAGGTACAAAACTTGTAAAAACTTCTGCAAGTAGTTACTTTACTTTGTGCGTTCATTTGTAAACCAATTACGTTTAAAACAATTTAAACCAACCAATAACGTAATGTTTACTTATGCGTAATCATAAAATTGAACGACAGCATGCATGTTTTAGATTAGAAAAGAAAAAATTTTTTTTAATCTTTTTAATAGTGGTATTTTGGTGATGTTTTCAGATCTGTACATTAGAATATATCACGGAACTAGAACTAGAATTAATCAATCTTTTTCTGACCTTCATCATACTTAACGTAGAGATCATCTTATAATGTAGTAAGGGCATATAACATGTTCACTTACGAATAAACTATAGCGACTGAGGCAAATGTACTGATGAAGGAGAATGGTAAAGATACCAAATTCCAGGAAAGCAGTAAACTGGCGCCACTGTACAGTCCTTCTTGCGTTTCTTGGTAGTATCTTGTTCTATATGGACCAACTGGAAATATTACATGAATAATTAGTGCTGACGTGTCTATTACACTACACTCTGATTAGGACAGCGCCTTATGCAGGAGACTAGGGTATCTACGCTATCCTGATTATGTAACGTATTTCCATATCGGTTTTTATTATTTACTTTATATAATTAATATGGTTAACAAGCTGACGGTTCGTCTGATGATAAGATATACAGAAACAAAACCGAATCAAAAAATTGCTTTAGGTACTGGTCAGACAAAAATCTTGTAATTTGTAATATGCTAATGTATAATTAATATAAGAAACAATTAGAAGGCTCTAGATTTCTAGAATTCAAACTAAAATAACTAGATTCTGTCATTTACAAATAAAAAAAAAACGGAGATTCCTTTATTATACTCACATAGACAAATAGTATTCATTATACTGATGAAGTAAGTGCCTACCATAGCGTTGAATATAAGTCCACTCTTAGTTATAAAAGTTCTTTGATAGTCCTGCAAATACCACAAGAAAACAGAATAAAAATGTAAAAGCACTAGTACATAAAATGATCCATTGAGTCGGATGATTAGTTACCTTAGCCTCATTGTAGAAGAGCCACAGTATTAAAAAGTATATGGGTAGACAAAATAATCTCATACACATTTGTTTTATACCGTGCTTCTTTAAATTGAATATTGATACGAGCATTCTCCTGAAATAACAACGTAATAATTATTATGAAATAGTAATATCTACCGCTCGTTCGGAAAGCTGTCTCATCACAAGAAGAACGAGCAAGAAACTCGGGTGTTGCTCGTTTAAATAATTGTAAGTTTACATTTAGAAGTCGAAACGTGTGAATACAAATTACCAACGAGCACTCATTTTTTTGGGTCAAATATAAATATACAATAAGATTAAATCAGTCGTAGTGATAAGAGCAGACCAGTCACTACAAGCATCACTCGTTCACGAGTATGACGGATGAGCCAGCCATCACTGCGCTCGACCATATTTTAGGGAGCCCAATGACAATATGATCGTACAAACATATTTTATAGGTAGGTATAAAAATACTCACACATACAACATCCAAATGACTTTGAAGCCGCTTGGCTTGCCGTAATTCAACTGAATCTTGTTTGGATTAATTATACGACTATGCTCATTCAGGTTGCCTTGCATTAGACCTTGTCCTTCCAGCTTGAATTTTTCAACTAACGCCGCGATCTGATGGTTGGATTCTATGAAGCGCTCTCGGGATCGTCTATCCACTGTCGATAGACATACTGGAAAGAAGGGGTGAAATTATAAGGTAATGGCTAAGAATGTATCTAGTATCTATTCTACATATATAGGCATTCCCAGATTTCTTTGTACTTTGTACGTACCAGATTGTTTTGTGCAAAGTCACCCTGTTTGCCAATATTATTCTTAATCTTAATAATATTATAAACGCGAAAGTTTTTGAGTATAGATGTTTGTTACTCTAGCACGTAAAAACTACTGAACGGATTTCGATGAAACTTTACAGTAATATAGTTTATGCATCAGAATAATATATAGGCTAATATAAGTAACTTTTATTGGCAAAAGGCATTGACTATCATCAATGCCTTTTGCCAATCAATATTATGCGTATATGCACGATTACCAACGTTTTATACTAGTTGTCTTATCATGATAGTACGTCATAAATTACATATTAATACTTACAGTAGTACATTAACGGGTTCTCAAGTTGTGGACAAGGGAATCCGATGCTCCCGAAGTAATCCAGCAGGTTGCGGGTTGGCCCCGCATACACGACGTCACCGAGACACAAGTACACGACGCGGTCCAAAAATGGAAAGACATCTAAACAATTTGAACAATTCCATCATATGTTTCATGAATATTATATAAGAAATTAATTAGGAAGATTTAGTACACGAATTAAAGAAAACTGGCTAACGCAGTCCAAGTAGTAGCGAGATGTATACTAGCGTTAGTCTGTCTAGAATTGCAGTGCATCTTTAGAAACAAATTCTATACTGGAACATATATCTAAAGCTGCACTAGCAGGCCTCTACCAGATTTGGCTGGGCAAAGAGAGAAACACGAACGGTGAAGGTTAGTGTTGACGTACGACAGCAAGGAGGCCCCCTACACCCGGCTCACAAGTCTCGAGTTTCCTTTCCAGAGTTTCCGTCTCTGCTACACTATAGACCACATACTGTGGATCCAGGAAATACTAAGAAGTTCGTCTCTTTCTAATGGAAGATTTCAATTAAATTCCGTAATGTGTATGTGTGTGTGCCTAAAAATGTGTACACTCAACGTCATTAACTTAGGCTAAATGTTGTCTGCGTAACCACGCCGCCAAGCCTTTCTAAGCTGTGTTTCGGTTGTAGACAGTATATTTACTGAATAAAAAGCATGACATCTTAGTCCTCGGGAATGGAAGTGCTGTCACGAATGCTCATGATAAGAATTAGGTGAGCAGCTTGTTTGCTATTCCTATTTTATATATAAAAAAAAACTAAATTCGTTATGGGCTACTAATTTGTACACTCCACGCCATTAACTTAACATATAGTTTGACATCTGTAACAGTTTTGACTTCGGCTATTCAATATTGTATTGTACGATTAAACAACACTACGAGTGGTCCAGTGACCCGGATTGTCATTGTTAACATTGCCACAACTGTGCAAACGGCTTCAAACAATGTCAACCGAAATAGCGAACAATACATAATCCATGTTTTTAAAAGCTTCGTCAACAGGAAAGAATTAGCATCATAATAGATTTATGGTTTGTTTTATACGAAAGTGGGTGAAATTGTGGCGCCAGACGTATAGTTAGAAGTAGGTATGTGTAGTCTACCTGTTCATATTATTATTTGGTACTTATTACATACTATAAGAGGCCACCCATAAATTCATACGTCACATACTTTTGTTTTAGTTTTAGGCGACAAATTGTAATGTTTACATATAACATTTCCCGACCAAAACATGGAACGGCTCCTAAATTTCGTGACGTAACATATCAAAATCTAATATACCTAATAATTAAAACACTAAATTAGATCTAATAACGGAAATTTATATATTTCGAAAGAGAGGCCATGGAATTCGTGTGTGGTAATTTATGGATGCCCCTGAGGAGCTAAAAGACTCTAAACAACATGTTTCAGATATATTTAGGAGTCTAATCAAGAGTTCTTTTATCAGAAATACATGAATCATAACCGAGCAACCGATTTGATTTATTTATTTTAATGATAAAAACAGCTATATCAAACAAATTTAATAAGTACCCGCAGTGATATTACTTGAAACAAAAAAAAATATAGATATTATCTAAATAATATAAATATAGGATTTTAAACTAGGTGGTATGAAAGAAACGTAATGATTAGAATGAATATGAATGAATGAACGAATGACAGAAGGAGTGTTCGAGATTTTTAAGGGATTACTTCGGCCTTTTTATTGGATAGATGATTAAAATATGTCAATTTTGTACGACATTTTTTTTATTAAAGATGTTAGAATTTAAATCCGGTATCTTAAACCCTTACAAAAAATGGTTCTTAAGTAGGTTCTTACCCGATCTTGGTTTTTCCATGGTGAGTATAATTGCGGTGCCATATTTTTTTGCAGCATTTGACAAAATGGAAATTACTAGATACGTATTCAATGGATCTAAATCCCATGTCGGTTCGTCCAGTAACAGGATAACTGTAAAACAAACGATTATTTATACTTCTTGTAGAAATATCGATTACTATGGAATTTGAAAAACGATGTTTTATCATATACATATCTAAAAATATTTTTGGATAAAAATATTAGGTTATTCTTTAAACACTGTTCCAGGTGTTTAAAGAATAGCCTACGACCTATACTCAGTTTTACCAACTATAAAAAAAATAGGACAAGCCGTTTCATTTAACAGTGACACAGGTATGTTTTTATAGTATTATTCTTTATAGAAAGGATTTAATACACGCATGTCCCTTATGTTTATATATCGAACATTTTAGATTATTATTAAAGTTAACTTTTAAAATATAAAACATCTTACTTGGATCTCTGATGAGATGGATTCCTATAATTAATCTTCGATATTCACTTTTCGTTAAATTTGTGACACATGTGTTGGCTACCTGTGGAAATTAAGAATTATACTAATAAATTAATTATTGTATTAGGATATTAATTCTCAGAAGTTAAACGAAGTAATAACAGTTCATTAAGGAATATAATTTATATATTAATTAATTTATACTTGCCTATCGTCATAGCTGTTTAAATAAATATTTTTAGGCAGTACAACCGAATCAAGAACGATATCATCCTATACGGTCTATTTGTCTTTTGTAACCATAAAGAAACTTATTGAAATATCTATACATACAAAATTTTACAACATTGGTCCTGCCGTTTTGAGCGAATTAGAATACAAACACACATACAATAGAATTATATTCTATTGTATGTGTGTTTGTATTCTAAATAATAAAACTTTTTACTGCACATTGAAAAAATAATTACAAAAAGAACACTACATAAATGTTTAATAAATAAATAAACTAATAAAGGCGTCCTTAATGTTTAAAGCAATCTCTTAGATGTCTTTAAGAGATTGTTGTACATATGTTAAGATAGATAAACATTTTGTATTGAAAACGATAGTGAAATATGATTAAAACAATTGTAATAAATAGCTTTACCTGTGATAGTGCTAAATCAGCCATAACTTGCTTCACTTTGGACGATTTCAAATAACCTGAAATCTACAATATTTTATTAATAAGCATGCCTATAGTATTATGACATGTTATATAGGTATCACATGATAAAGTGATGCCGGTAGTGCTGTTTATATATATAGGCGATAGTAACCAATAAACATTAGCTATTTTTTGGGACTAGTTCAGGCTTAGTGGTCTAGCAGACCGCCTTACTTCCGCTGGTGGCGGATACCGGTACCTATAATATAAGCTATACTTAACTTGGAACTAGATGGTCCTGTATTCACACAGGTTGATCTAGTCCCAGGGGAATGACACAAACAGGAAAACAAAAGGAAACACTGCTCTACGCGGAGTCGTAACGTGGACTGACTACACAGAACTTAGTAACACAGGAGATGTAAACAAATGTAGGGGTGCCGAGTGTTGACAGAAATATTAGAAACTAGCTGTGCCTGCGGTTTCACCCGGGTGTAGTTTATAAAGTTTTATCAAAATCCGTTCAGTAGTTTTTGCGTAAAAGAGGAACAAACATCCATCCATACCCAAAAACTTTCGCATTTATAATATTAATTAAGTAGGTACAACTTTATTGGCAATTGTTATTAATACCTTAGTGAGCGATAATGAGAGAGTCTGTTGCACACTCAGACCGGGTAACAGGCGTGTGGAGTGTCGCACCAGCGCGCAGGTGTTATTAAACTGTTCCTCCTCTAGTGGCACGCCTTCCAGTAGGATGTGGCCCTTGGATGGTACACGGCGGGCAATCACGTCCAGGAGAGCCCTTTTACCACTGCCTAGAACGGTTATTTCATTGTTAAATACACTCGTATTTAAGAACTATGAATCCATATTTCATAGAATACGCAGTACAAAAAATTATAAGTATAATAGGATAAATATACCTTATACATAGAATAAATATCAGTAAAATTTATAACTAATAGAACTATCTATATATTTCACATTCTATTATGATCTTTAGTCGTGAAAACAAACAAGCAGCTACGTTTGCATTTATAATATTAATATTAATACAAAATAATGAGAGCAGATTTCCAATTCATCCTTAGGTATATTTTGTGAGTTTTTATAGTCCTGAAAATGCTTACAATTTATCTTATTTAAACTGAAGTAAATAAGTTTGGTAATCCAATAATCGTAGATTTATACCATGTATATTTATATTTATACCATATATACCTACCATATGTAGGTATATGGACAAATTAATTATCAGGGTAATAATTAATTTGTGCATATACATATGGTTAATATACCTTTAGAGCCCAGTATAGCCGTGACCTCTCCGCTGTGTGTGATAAACGAAACATCTTTCAGGATAACTCCCGTCTTCACAGCACCAGTCAACCGCTGAAAAAACTGCCGGGCTCCACCTAATAAAGAGATATACTGGTTTAATATTGTTTTTTAGATTATAATACTAAATATTCAGAACATTACAATTTTTAACGAGTACAAAGCCGTCGTATACTTCATCGTCGTTTTGTAAAACAATTTTTTGTTACAACCAGCTAGTTGTATCACTGCCGAAATATAGAGAACTCAATAATAATAAATAAAACGTAGTAAGATCCCGTGAGTTTCAAAGTTGTAAGTATAAAGAATGACTGAGTCAAATATAAAAAAGTATATACCGGTTTATTTTTTACTGTAATTAAATATAAGCAATATGAATATTATACTTAGTTTAGTTTTTAAACACCATAATTTGACTAATTATAATTAATTAATAAATTTGATTAAATTGTATATCAGTACCGATATTATATTTTTTTATTCAAAGTCTATATATTCATTGTTTTATGGTATAATTTATCAATTTTCAGCTTTGTGAGGTTTGGAACTAGATGGCGCTGTCATATATCGAGGATAGGTATTCAAAGCTTTGCGCGCTTGATTTGAAGAAAAGTTTTATGTTTATGCGCATGATATTACGGCATAAATTTACAATTCAATCGATTCATCTGTTTATGAGCTATTGAATAATAAACATTCAAATATCCAATAATCATTACGAACTTTCTTGTTATTGAAAGTTCCTACTTATTTTTATGAGAGCAAAGCTTCGTCTGTTATTCTTAAAGAAACGACGTAACTATTTCACTGTCTCATCAATAAATAATAAACTCATATAATTAAAAAAATTAAGTAACCCGGAACAAAAGCTAGGAACCATCACGTACACGACATCAAAAACCGCATCATAATCGGTACATTCCTTTAAGAGCTACGGTGCAGATATACATTATTATACATACACGTCAAACTTTCGAGTATTTATTAATTTAAATATTCTAATTTCTCTTCAAAGGTGTATTAATTTAAGTCATTCTAGATCAAAAGTTATTTTAATATCTTATATTAAGCCAACACTATATTATTGAAATAATACCTATAATATAAGTAAAACTATAATTTAACTTAATATATATTCATATTTTCTACGAATGGAACACAATGACCCCAATGAAATAGTTCTTATCTATAAAAGCTCTGTCCATAGAAAAGATTTCAACGAGCGAGCTCAAGTATTTTTACTAACTTAGTCGGTAAGTTCTTGTACGAATCAGTACCAATTTGCATTTCTTACTTCGATTACGTACTAGGTATATGTAGCCACTATATTTTTTTATATTATTATGTATCTTCATTCCATTTATTATACATCTGATACTTAAATATCTCAAAAATAAATTAAACGCAGCTAATTTGGAGTTTTAAGTACAATCAAGTGACCGTTTTGTTGCAGCCTACAGTTGTTAGAAGGCAATGTAAACAATGTATAGACGATTACTACTTACCTGTCCAGAATGAAATACGTTGCACAATTCCAATGTATAATCACTGCCGATCATTTTCCTAGTTTCTCTTGTTCAAATTAAATTGATGTTAAATAAATTATATATTATATACGCAAATAAAATGCATTTCCAAGTGACACATCCACTCTCCAGTTGCACAAACTCACACTAACACAATACAGATAACAACACACTTCACACCATAATAGCAACGTTGCCACATTTACTAACGACTAACTTCATGTTGTTAACTGTACTTAATTTTTAAAACAATATACCGTAAAGCCATTTTAGCTAATACTGCAGTAATCAAAAGGTTCAAAATTCTATTATAGGCTAAATAAGATGCCGATTAATGAGAAGTTCTCATAAATAAAAAAAATATAAATTGGTGATGCTGGTAGGAAGAGTGATGAGATAATAAATATAACAAGTTAGTATTTGTAATGCTTTAGACAAAATACTAACACACAATAATAGAACACATTAGCACTTAATTGAATAGAAATTTTACAACTTTTAACACTGTACTTATTTCAACTACTATATTTATTAATAGTTCGAAAAACATTTACATGATGTACCTATTCCGGCAATGGCTCATTAACGAATACATCATTTTGGAACGTGCAGCCATTAGATAACTTTTGTCAATTGAGTGGCTATTAACATGTTAGTACTTTTTAAATCAATTTTCAAAATTAATTACCACCATATCCTCGGAGAGCCCGTCTTAATCTTATGGACATCTCTTAAAAATAAGTCATGTTTTTCATAAATACTAAATAAGTACTTAGTAGAAATAAAAATTGTAAATACAAGATTTTTTGTATCAGCCAAATTTGAATTCACAACCTTGTGTGTAACAACATATAATTTTAGTTTAATACAGACCTCGTCTAGTCTATAATTTTATACTGTTGACTAATTAAGTATTATGTTAGCATTTATTTATACATTTCATACAAATAGTACATTATCTCCAAGACCTAAATGGTATGTGAATTATTGGAACGCAATTATATGACGGTGGAAAAAAATGTGTAATGTATTAAGCTTCCCCTTAACGATGAAAGCCTCATTTTTCCACATTTTCTATACACTGTTGCCAGATATACTCACCGTGAACCTTTCAAAGGCTAAATATTCTCTCCGTCTCTTTTACACTCATCATGAAATCTGCTTTGAGAATGAGATGTACTGCACACTTAGTAATCGTAAATTCCAATGATTAGTCATCTCGTTCTGGCAAGTCGTTCAAATTACCTGCAGAAAGAGAAAGGAGAACATGCGCAGTGTCACTGACTGTTCACTTGGGCTCTGTATGGCCGTTTGAAGTAAACTACTGCGTTCCACCAGTGTAGCGACTAGCCCCACAGTTTGAGAACGATTTATTGATGAAAACGAACGAAAACAGACGACTAATGAACTGAACTGTACAAAAAATTTATCTCAACTGATGTCCATGTGTTTTTAGTGACCAAATTTATTCGTTTCAGTGATCAGTGTTGAGTGTTTAGATGAATTTGTGAGTGACACTCGGGAGTCCCGTTGGCCGGTATTCTATCAAGTAAGTGATACTGGATATTCTTGTATTTGTGTAGGTGGTTTAGAAATGTAAACTAGACCATTTAATATTTATGTTATAGATATTATAATTTTAAATAGATGTATATTATGTAGTTACATATTTGTGTTTTACGTATTACGACAATTTATCACATTGTGCTTTAAAATACAGCTCTATTTTTCAAATAGCTATGCAGTTACCCAATTAGCTTGCTAGCTGATCATTCCAAAATATGTAGTTTATATAAAGCTTATTGTAGTTTAATGAACTGCTTATGAGACAAAATAATTTTCCAGTTAAAATTGTTAATAATGTTATGAATGTAATTATGTTTAACAGATCGTGACAACATCTCATGTAAACTGTAACATTACTGTTTCTTATCAATTTGAATCAAATTATATATCCATATAAGTATATAACGATATATATATATTGTGGTTGACATCTTTGAAGAAAATATATTGTTAGACGATAAAAAAACGTTTGAAAATATAATCATCGAACCGAACCGAAACAGCAAAAGCAGGATAATAGCCACAGTTTTGTTTCTTAACTGAAGACTGAAGCGATATTCATACATATCTAACAATTGTAGAGACTATATTTACCTATTCGTAAATTCAAAAATTTACGATTATAGGTATGCAAAAACTGTTAAATAATTATTAAAAGTGTCCACCAATTTATATAGTATATATGTAGTTGGTTTTGTATGGTGACTAATTTAAAAAATAAATACCAGTGTCCTAATAAATACATGTTTCTTTCTAAAGCTTCTATATAAAAAAATGGCTAGTTAATTTTTAATTTTGTAGGTACCACTCGACTACCACTCATTAAAGGGTTTTTAGATGACGCAGGTCATCGCCAAAAGAAGTTATGATTAAAAAATACTGTAAACAATTCAACAACATACCTAAGGTTTCTTAAAGCCACAATCTGATTTATCAACAATTATAAATTATAATCTGATCTAATATTATTTAATATTTAATCTACAAGCAATAAAAAAAAGGTCAGCGTGTCCTTAAAAGGGGAAAATATATAAACCCGCAATAAGGTTTCGCTCCATAAATCGGTGTGACTAATCTTTATACGAAGCGAATATTTCTACGAAGCTACTATGCCAAACACTTTTATGAATACTCCGGCTTTATCTCGGATAACCTTTACTTTGTTTGGAAACTGTTTTAATCTCAGCCTTATGGTGGATATAAATTATTTATTATCTAACCTAAATAAAATCTAGTAATAAATTGCAGTGTATCTTATTAGAAACTATAAAATTAAAATATGAGCAACAAATATAAAGTAAAGAAAGTGATAATTAATATTGGAAGTGAAATTTAATGGACATCGGTAGCTTATTTAATGGGCGTATTAAACTTGTTGTCTATTACTTTCAATTCAACAAAATAAGCCGCTAAAATATAAAATCATCAAATTTGTAAGATTTCACATCAGACGTAAATGAATTCTTGATCTGATTGACAAAAAGACGAATAACAAAAGACAAAACGTCGACAGAGGTTAACAATATAAGTAATATATGAAACATGAAAGCTTAAGAAGACGATAAATCATTACCTGGGAAGTAGCGATTGGACCTATGTACCGGTCACACCATATCCTGACCTTTGTATAAAGGCTACTCTACTACTAAGTGCTGACTCACACCATGATTTACCACAGAGCGCATTTCAACTTGCGGGTTGCAAACTCGAATTGAACAGTTGTTTTGGAACATAGAATTAATATAATGTCTAGCTACAGTTATTATTTACAGTTTACTGTATCAACACATCCGTATCTAGTTTGCTGTACGTCTGGCATTTGACTCAGACCGTATTTTTTTTTATTGATGATAAGATTGGTCAAATGTAGTCGATTTAAATAGACATCTGTATTGTAATATATATAGGTACCTATGGTAATTTTGTAATTAGTCAGTTAGGAGTCGCCTTAGACATACTAAAATAGCGGATTTTTTGAGGTAAGTAAGTTTTTTTAGAACCTTTTTGTAAATTTGTTGCATTGTTTGAAAGATACATTATTCCGTAATGATATAATCGATGTATCGGTAATATTTACAAAAGAAATAAGGTAATGAACATTCGGGAGACTACTACTAGTTGATTAATAAGATGTGTTCAATAATCATTCTAACTTGGAAACAACCGATTTATGTCAGTCTGACTTTGACCTTCAAGATGTATTATCTGGTAATTAGAGTCAATTTAAATTCATACATTTTTGTTCTACTAACTTATTCTACGGTCTGTTTACACTATCGCGGGCTTGATTATAAAACCTAATTAAATGTGGATGATTCCAGTACACGGTATTTAAAATTGCACATACATACATTTTTGAGTTGTGTTTAATTTATTTCTTTCCTTTTGTTTTCTTCTTATTACCAATCAGTTTATTTAAATCTGTGTTTAAATCAAATAATGCATGATGACTATACGGGCATGAGTTTAACTCAGTTAGTCCATCTTGGTGAATTCACCAGGAATTTATCACTATATTTTCCAGATCAACCGCGTCAACCTGACATGTTATACTGCAAATAATTACAATCCTCTTCCCCAATCGACCAAGTATTTTCTGTGCCTAAATGAATTTTAAGTATTGCATTGTAAGGCCACAGCGTGGAAAATATTTACGGTGCTTCACCTTGTCTTGAGAAGTTCTTGGAGCAATGAACTTTGAGCTCTTGTGGTCATATATTCACTTTGTGAACTGTGCCACACAGGTTATGCGGACTTAGGTGAACTGGGAAATAAAACTTCGCCGTTCTTAGTGACAATGACCGTTAGTGAGAAAATAGTTTGTCTAATATACATAATTCAAATTCAAATTCAAATTCAAAAATCATTTATTCATGTAGGACATTTTAGCCGCTTATGAACGTCAAATTTTTACATTATAATTTTATTTTTTTCCCTACCGTCCAGTTCGGTATATAGATCCAATTGAGAAGAACTGGCAAGAAACTCAATTGAATTACTTTTTTTTTTAAAGCCAGTTTATTTACAATGTATATTTATATAGGTGTCTATGTCTAACATTAAATGAAAATTCAGTGCATGAACAACTATTGCCATGCACACTCGTCATTCAAGTAATCGTTTAGTGAGTAATAGGCTTTGCTCAGTAAATATGATTTAATAGATGTTTTGAATTTATTTAAGGGTAATTCCAACATATCCTTTGGTATCTTATTGTAAATTTTTATACCTATTCCCATAAAAGACCTATTAACTTTTTCTAAACGATACTTGGGGACAGCAAGTTTGTCTTTAAATCTTGTATTAATATTATGAATATTGCTGTTTTTTGGAAATAAGTCAAGATTTTTATGAACATATAGGATATTTGAATATATAAATTGAGAAGCAACGGTGAGAATATTTGCCTCTTTGAATTTCTCTCTTAATGAGTCACGACTCTTCATACAGTAGATCGCTCGAACGGCACGTTTTTGTAATATGAATATATTTTTAATATCTGCCGCTTTTCCCCATAGTAATATTCCATAAGAGAGTAAACTATGAAAATAACTAAAATAGACTAATCTAGCAG